CATTACTGTGATTATATTGCACATACATATTTTCCAGAATAAACAATATCTACACTGAATGATGTGCATGGCAACTTAAGTAATTTACAAGCACTTACATGTGTGTGCATCAATCCACACCCATTTATTCACTCAATGAAGTCACAGGGGCAGTGCCCGATCTTCTCCTAGACCCCCTGTCCAATCTACTATTGAAATAAAAACTTGAGTATACGTGCCTTTCCATTTGCACTTCCTGCTGATTTTGTAAAAAATGATTTACACTTTTAGCTATAGTAGTTACATCTATATATTTAATGCTTAGACATATCAGTAGAATCAGAAGGGTTCTGTGAGATTAGACTAAAGTATAGTATTCTGTTCCTACAGTGGCCAACCAGATGATCACAAGAAATCCACAAGCAAGATACGAAGGCACTCCATCTTCCCACTCTTGCCCTCCAGCAACTGGCATTGGGGGGGTGCAATAGATTTACTCGCCTTTCAAAATGACATCAAGAGTTACTCTGGTGCATGGAAATGGGAGAGACCCATGGTCATTTTGTTAGAAGCAAGCAGTATAGCTACAAATAAAAGAGAAGTGACATCGAAGTCTGGCAGTGATGAAGAGCTAGTAGTCTATGATATGTAAATTAGAGGTAGGTCAAAGAGGTAGAGATAGTTCCATCCAGTTCTGTGCTGCTATGTACCAATCATCGTGTCCTGTCAAGGACAAAGGAGCCACTTCAAAATTGTTACCCAAAGAGTAATACACAAAAGCACATGGTGAGGGTTTAAAGTGCACACTTTTATTTTCTATTACAAAGGCTAAAAGAAACAAATCTGTCTTGTTAAGAACAAGAAAGTTGTTAGAACATCTATATTATTATCTTGGTTACTATACCTTGTAAATTTCTTTGTAATAGTAAAGCGTGGTATTCTTAAAATATATTAATACAAAGACATCTTGAAGGACCCTCTAACTTATTAAAAGCCCAGCTGAGAAATGCAGCATCCCTCTTTCACAAGCTTTTCCTCCAACCTTTTAAGAGATGGCCTGGTTAACTAGTATCTTATTCAAACATATCCTCCCCTTTGAAGTTATTGGAAAGGAGCCTTCCAGATTTTCTTTGCAACATCTTATGTAGTGATTGATCCAAATATTTTCTTTTATGTAAACGGACACTCCCAATTTTTTGTTTTTCACACAGTCCATATTTCTTAAGAAACTCAACCAAAAGCCTAATTTCTTTATCATTTACAGATGTGTTAACTTTCTGAAATGTTTTTCCTTACTGGCTCATATACTGCAGGCAACCAAATGATAGTTTATTTCATTCAGTTGTTCTGGAGCACTAAGCTTGCTCCTTAATTATTGTAAAATTAGTAGTGCTATGGCTACAGCATAAACATAGAATGCTATATACTCTATAAAGAAATAAGAAAAAACAAACAAGGCAGAATTGAGCCCCCTACTCTTGGAAATGCCTTTTCTCATCAGCACTTCATCCATTATTACCTAGACATCTCATTAAAAGATTAACAGGCCTCTGCAGAATCACTTAGCAGGGCAATGATTCCCTCCTTAACACAATGATTTTTAAAAACTTGACATAATTATTTCTCCCTTGCCCCAACATTTTTTTCAATGAGAGATGCTTCAATCCCCAGTGAGAGTCCTTTTCCTTAACCCTCAATAAAAAGATTCCTTCAATATCGCGTACATATATAATATTATATAGAGTGATATATTTAATACCTGTGTATATATGCTTTATGGAAGGGTGACATATATACACACTAGAAGAAGTCTGGTGACAAAATACTGCAACACCACATATCTGGTTATTATATTGGGGAAAAACAAATATTGATTTCCACTGCAATGCCCAGGAATATGTGCTCCCCCATCCCTTGTTCTGCATTGTAAATCACAAGACCCTTTCCCACTCCCCACAGCAAAGTTGTTTTGATGGGGTTAAAAAGGAAGGGCCCTGTAAAGCCATTTATTATGGTTTCAATTAAAGAGGAAAGGCAACATTGTCCCATCCCATCTTTATAAATCCACGTATCCTAAAATATGGCATATAGTTGCACTTCTAGATGCAGCAGATAACTGAACAGTTTGAAGTACCCATTGCTTATTCAACAGTTTAGTATCCATTGCTTATCATGTTTTCCTGTCACAAACTGCTACCATTTCAGTATTAGAAGGTAGTCAATCACAATTCCTGGAATTTTAGGGATTGGGACCAACAGGCTGAGAGCATAATGGTCAAACAGGCAACAGGCAATTACACGTAACACTGATGCACAAGAAGGTGGGGGCATGATTTGCCTCATTTAATTGCAGTCAAGAGCCCTCCTCTGGCTCTGCTTAATCCAGTGTCATATTAAGACTAGTTAACTGCCAAGACAGGAGAAAATACCTACCCCTTTAGCAGTAAAGAAATGTAGTTGAAAGGAAAGCAAGTAACATGATCGGAAATATCTTTTTTTGAAATTCCAGGACAATCAAAGCAACTGGGAGGAACATACAACGGCTGCTTCAAAACACATGGATTCTTTGCAATGGTGATGGTCTGGGTGCACAACTACTGTTCACAGTCACTCAACACAACCATCTTTCTGCTAGACCTTTCCATCAAAAGATGACAAGAGCATATTTCGCTGCCCTCTCTAATGACCTATTTGTAAGTTAACCTGCACAACTCACTGCAATGAACATCTGTAACTAACAAGGCACTGGTCACATTCCAAGGCACACATCTGACTGGGCAACAGGCATATGCCCTTTAATGCCACTGGTCCCTCATTAGTTAGTGCAATTCACCAGAGTGAGTTACACTGTTTAACTTATGCACACATAAGTAATCAACAGGATTCTGGCCTGAGGATATAACCTGAAGTTGAATTTGTGACAATAAAAAATGGTTTAATAAACGCAAATGTCAGTTAGAACAGTGGTTCTTAACCTTTGTTACTCGGATGTTTTAGAACTCAACTCCCAGAAACCCCAGCCAGCACAGTTGGTGGTGAAGACTTCTGGGAGTTGCAGTCCAAAACTCCTGAGTAACCCAAGGTTAAGAACCAGTGAGTTAGAACATTAAATCATCAGAAGACAGAACAGAAAAGATTATCAGAGATCCCTCATGTGCTGATGTCCCATTCCTCTTTTAACCATATTTCCATTTATCACAATTATTTAAGCCTCTTCAAATGGAACAGGGATGGACTAAGATTCATATTTTTCACCAGGGCCTTAAAACTCAGTTGAATTCTTAGCTAGGCAAGATAGATAAATGGATGGTGTAATGAGGACTGCAGATGATTCATTAAGAGAAATCTCAGTGGAACCTTCCTATTCATATCACACAGCACCACTGTCCACTTGGAAAACATATAGCAAGTATTGCAACAACGGATATTCACCGGTATTACAGAAAATAGTACATTCCTTCATACGACACAAAGGGAATTGCACTAATTTAGCCAGTCAGAAATGAACATTTCAATTTACAAAACCAAGGCCCACACATTATTAAGTCTCTGCTACACCCCTAGAAGTAACGATTATTGGCAACTTGCCAGCATTAGAGCACATCTTTTTCCTTCAGTCCAATATTCCCATCCAACAATCCTCCTAATTTTCAGCCCTGCCACGTGGTGCTCTCCCCCTCATGTGCACAACTTTGTTCCTATGTGCGATTCCCTCCCCTCCGTGCGGGGTCCCATCATGACTGGAACCAAAGGGGCTGAAAGCAATCGCTGTTGGGCACAGAGGAGGAGGAAGGCTGCACAGAAGGGAGCAGAGTAATGTGCACGCACAGGCGCACACCTTGGAGGGAACATTGTTTCCATCCCTTTATTTTCTGCAGCTTTTACAGCCTGATCCTGAAACACTTAACCAGAAACATGTCTCACTAAATTCAAAAGTTGCCCTAATGACCAGATTATAGCCTCTGAAAGTTTCTTTCAGAGGTATATTAAATATTACTAGAATATAAACTCTCTTGATGTCTTCCACGCCCTCTGAAAACAGTGATGGAAACTTGATTCATTACATTGTTTGCTACTGAAAGCTATTTTTTGATATTACATTCTCAGTGGCAGCTTTTTAGCCTGAACTACTAGATGAATTTAAAACCCCTTTCTGCCAAATTCCAAAATGATGTCTGTTTTTTTAGCCTTTACAGGTAAATATTTCTATCCTGTGTGGAGGAGGTATCACTAGGGTGGAAACGATTGACTTTTTGGAACACACAGGCAGTCTCTCCATTCTAACCCCAACATCATAATCTTTTATGGGTTCCTGTTAATCCTCAGCCTTTGATCTCTATAAAGAGGCGATGTTTATTTTTCTGATTTGATTGCAACATTTGGAGGAAGAATATTCAGGGGTATGCTTTGAATGTACACTGCATGCTAGATCTAATTTAATATGTTATTATCAATTTTCATATCTGGAAATATGATACCTCTCTCCAAAAAGAGCAGACTGATAATTCTTCTAGCATATGGCATAATTAGGAATTCTCTATCCTCCTTCACCAGGTACACACATGTGGGAAATCCAAGTTATTGAGATTTAATCTTTAAAATATGAAGAAACAGGATCTTCTCTTACTATTATTAACGATAGCAATCCCCAGAGACATCATAACACTTTAAAACTAGAATGAATTAGGGAGCATATTTTCATTTGTATTTTAAATTACCTTTTCAAAATTTATTACTACTTTTTTTCAGAGACCATCTACACTGTGGTTTTGGTTTCTATGCAGGCACCACGAATCCACACATCCTTGTCACTCCACCATCATTCTTCTCCACTGGCCTCTATGACATATGTTGCAGTATTCCAACATAACACAGAGCCCTGAGAATTTAAGAGTTAAAAAACAAAGTGAGATGCTCTCGCTTCTTTCATATACCAACTGCAAACAGAGTCCTTTTCCTTTAAGGAGGAAAATGGGCTGGTGATGATAGGTTTAAAAAAAACTTTCTAGAAAGAAAATAAAAAACTGGAAAACAAAATTCTAGGAGCATCATGTTCACTGGTTGTATATGATTCAATTCCTAATTCCATTCAACATTAGTAAATCATCCTGATTATCTTACAATCAAAACTTAATGGAATGATAATCAGTCTTTGCCATGCCCAGCAATCCCTGCTCCCAGATCCAGTTCTGAGAATCCACTCTCCTGTGATTATATACTATCCCGCAATAAGAAGTTGTATCTCCCAAAGTCATCATCTCTGGGGCACAAAAGCATATCCTTGCGGGCTTTTGCCAGCTTCTGCTTCATGACTTCTCTCCGATCCAGCCACTCTGTCAACTCATCCTGACCATGAGCGAAGCGACATTTCTCTCCTTCAGGGCAGGATTTTGTCTTCTGGAATCTGCAGAAGGATAATACATGGCTTAAGATTTTTAACAGGAAGCACTGTCACTTTATTCCTGTGAGTTTCTCAGTAGCTAAACTGAAAGCTAACTTGAAACTATAAAGGGATTTCTCACTAAATACAGGGCACAGTGCAAGAGGAGGGCAGACTTTCAAGTGAACAACTGATATAGCTGATTAATACATGGTAGTTCTAGATAAACATTATCTTATCATTACAGCAATCCAAGGTAAACATTATTCTATCAATACAACGGCCAGCTCTAAATGAAGCTACAGTACATGAAAATAATAAATCTGGAAGAGTAACAATTGTAAAAAAATCTTTTGTATTACAATAATTATTATGTACTGTTCAGTCAATTCTGACTTATAACAACTAGGGTTTTCTAAGTATACTCAAAAGTGGTTTACCATTCCCTCCTTCTGGAGATGCCCTGGGACTGTGCACCCTGAGCTCCGAACCTCTGGCTCTGCAGCCAGATACCTAACTCACAGAGCTATCCAGCCAGCTATTAATACCAAATATGAAATCGCACAAAAAAATGAGCTAGCCTTCAAGTCCCATTGAATTCTTCAGGTTAGATGTAAAACCATCAAACAAAATAAAAGACAAAGGGAAGAAACTGCTGAGCAGTATGAATGGCTAACTGGTAATTTATATACATGTTCGACTGAATAGAGGTGATGCTGTTTGCTCATTTAAACTAGGTTAGATTGTGTTCAAGGCAAAAAGATCTTCTGTTCCCTCAAGACAGGTTGGGATGAAAATATGAACTCTAACAGTTAATTGCTGGTGTTTGGATTGGAGGGGAAACTGTTTTGACTTCTTACAGTTTGAACAAAAATCATACTGTTTGAACTTTGGGTTGTACAATGCCACTAAAATGTCAGTAAGAAAAACAAAGCCCCATGTCAGATGTGGGTCTTCAGTGTAATACTTGACCAACAGTCACAGACCTGTATTTCTGACAGTTCCCTAAGAAAAATCTGAAGACGTTGTACTTAGTTGGCATATTATGCCATCAGCTCACTGTGTCTACATGCACTTTAGCCTTTGAGTTTAGAATTTTAGGGGCATGCCAGGTGGCACAGTAGAATATTTAGACCTGAAACCTTAAATGCAGTTAACAGAGAGCATTACAAATAAATTTAAACTGTCCCATCTAGAGATTTTACAATTACATGGCATTACATGCTTAGCACATTTTCCCCTCATACACGTACATATAAAAAGCACACAGGAAAGGAGGCATTTTGTGCCCTTTACCTTTCACAGAGCCGGAACTCCCCCATTGGGAAACGGTAGTTCCAGCAGCTGGAGTCATTGTCAGACGTGAACACTTTTTCTTTATGCTTCTCTGACTGGATATGCTGCTGCCACTGCTTCTTGCTGTTGCTATTCTTTCCACAAAGCCAACAGTGGTAGCCCATCTAACAATCGTAAAACAGGCAAATACACTTCTGTAACTTCATAAGAATCCACAAACCAGTTCTTCAGAAAGGTTTTCCTCTCTCAGTGCCTAACAAAATCTAATTTCTCATAGCAGACTGGGATTTCAAATGAAATTCTAGGATTGTAGTAAATTTGAAAGTGTTTCAGATTCCCAGTTCTTCAACAATTACTACTATCCCTCTTCCCTTTTTATTATGGTGCTGAAAATAAAAACAATTGGCAAGGTGAAAGAACACTGAGTTGTTTTTCTAAATTTTAGTTCTAACCCTGGAAACAATTCTTGCAAATTGAGCTACATGCCCATGGCTATCCTGTTCCTCAGCTCCACTATGCATCGGGATGTGCCGTTTTCTAATAAATGTGCAAAAACAGACTGAATCAAGAGTGCTTATGTGACTTCAGGGCAACTGGTGGTGGTGGTGCAGCAACATTCTCACACATGTATTGCATTCCATCCAGCACTTGTTGGGTTAAAATGTTTTCAACCAAAGTTGCCTAGCCATCTGAAATTTAAAAAAAGGGATATGGGGAAGACTCAGCTGCTGGTGCAAAAGGAAAAGAGTGAGAACTAATTTTGCCCCTTTCCTCATGAAGCTCCAAACACTCCAATCAATTTTAAATTACAATTTAAATTTTAAAATTTGATTTTTAAAATCTAAATATTCAAATAGTCTGATTTTTAAAATTAAAATTCTGTTTCAAATCACTCTGTTTTAAATTGAATCCACCCCGCTTAGTTTACAAAATGATTTACTACTAGGACTGAGTGTTCATGTGGCCGGGGAATGTCTGTGACTATACATGGATGCCTACATTTTCCTTAATAACAGCATATAAGTTGGAATTACCCACAAGAACTTGATGTACAGCCTTGAAAAAGATTATTTATCATTGAACGCTCACTGTTTGGGTTTTGTCTGTTTGTTTTATATTCTTAACAGGTGATTAAAGGTATCACCTGTTCCTGTATTTGTATTGTTTCTACAACCATGCAGCCTTTTCCTGATTTTTTAAGAACTGTAAGATACAATAGAATGGCTGATGAGGGCAGCAACTGAAGACTGACATGAGTTCTCTAACATCATGCACTCTTGACACCAAACAAGCAGGACTGCAGGCTAACGAAAACACTCACCAGGTAAAACCATTTATTTGTCTTTTATTTGGTTTAAACTGACTGTTCCTGGTGGCTTAACTAAATTCCTTGTACTGATTGCGATTGGCTACGTCAGAATTAGTGCACTAAGATCTGTCTTTCCTTCTCCTACATCCATTTCTTTGTAGTGATGCAAATCCCACCACCTGCTGGCCTTTGCACAGCTGCTAGAAAATTGTGAGTAAAAAAAGTAAAATCCTTCTGTCTATCGTGTCCCTGAAATGGATAGCGCTGTGTCATCCCAACATCCACCTCAGGCTACAATTGTTTACATTTTTCCAATCTTTGGAAAATGGGTTTTTCACAGAAATCTGGAAACACACGGATACTGCAGAGGACCCTAACAAGGATAGGTTGAAGTCACACCAAAAGGGCAAGGGCTGGTCAGACACCTATTCGTGTCACTGAGCGTGGATTGATACGGAGGTCCACCGCACCTTCCTAACTAGGTGTATGACTGCCATAAACCATTGAGTTGCCTCTGACTCCATGTGTGGACTGCACTGAGCCCCCCCCCTAGAGCAGTTGGCTGTCCCTTTGTGTCTTATTCAGTGGTATACTTCTGTCAGAAACTCCTACAAAACAAAAGCAAAACTACAGTAAGAAGAAGAGATTTTACCATGTCAGCATAGTCAGTGGGCATCTGGATCTGCTTTTCCCCTTCTCGTGAAGTTAGAGGTGTCCCCTCACCAGGTTTTCCAGGATTGTGTTTTTTCAGCCACATGTCATAAGTCTGCTGCATATCCAAAACTGTAAGGAAATGTCAGTTTGATTAGAAGAGGGCCTCCTTTCTATCCTGCCACATATACCTCTCTAAAAAGGAAGCTTTAAATAGGAATTACAGGATACTGTTCTTGTAAGAAAGGCAAACAATTTATCCATCCAACTTGGTACTGTGTACAACAGAGCTGGGCGATTGTAGTGGAATCAGATTTGCCAGTAACTGGGAGGGGGCTGCACTCCCAACGGGGGTAGTGGTATAAAAAGGGTGTGGCCAAGAAGGCAAATGTGCATATTTAATGTTTTTCTAAATGTTTTTTCCCAGTATAGTGAGTATGTATTTTATAAGTTGCTATAATGGGTTTTTAAGTTAACTATAAAACAGATTTGAGTTTAAAAACCAGAGGTTTTAAAAGCTAAAAAGCCTACTGTGCTCTCTAATGGGCAAACTGTTTTAGTTAAAATTTCAGGGGGGATTGGGGGCCCTGAAATAAATGGTAAAATTGGCCCCTTTATCTATAAGGCTCAAGGGGCCTTTTGGAGAAAAAAACACATTGTTTTATTTTTTAAACTTCTAGGGATTGAATGTTGCCCACTCATAGTTCATGGGGACTGGCCATGGTTTCAGAAGAAGGGCTTTTCCTGCCATGAACTGAAGCGACGGGGGCTGAATCTAGGACTTCCAACTACAAAACATTTGGTCTACCATTTTGCTACAGCCTGATCTTAGCTGAAGGCATTTTAAGGAGAATGTACTCCCAGCTGAAAATCAAGATCAATTAGATCTGTAGTCCACTGCAATAAGTGCTCATGCAAAACCCAGAAGATATCTCAGCATCTTTAGTGAGAGAAATAGGCAGCTTCACAACCTAAGTTGTAGAAAGAGAAAACAAAGATATAGAGGAAAAGAAGGCTAACATGAAGCAGACATTTACCCAACTTTTTTACCTCCATATGATGAAATGAAAGGCATGCTGTTTCCTTTGGATAGATACCTGTGATCAAAATAGTATCTTTTCTAATATCCTTCTCTTTGGATGCGTGGTAAAAGAGCTACCTAAAATTTCCCAAAATAACACTACCAGGGATGTGCTGTTTAGATTTTTTCGGCGTCGGTTCCTAGAGGTCTCTGAGAGTTCCCTGACAGAATTCTGGGAGTTCCAGTCCACAGACCCAAACCCACAGACTTTTATATTTCCCTCATCTGGAGCAAAACCTACCTTCAGAGGCCACGTTCTAGGCCTATTTCCTGCTGCAGTGCTTCTTGAGAGGAAGTGGAAACAATGCTTCCTGAGCATCATAGTCAGGGTCAATAGAGGGTGCTTCCCAAAGTAGTACAACTGACTGGAACACCCAGAATTCTGTCAGGGGAATTCTTGGAGAATTCTGGAAGCTGGAGTCCAAAAAAATTCAAATGGCACATCCCCAAACACTGCTAGAACTAAACAATGTACTGCATTTATAAAAGGAGCACATCCCAAAACATTTTTCATTCCTATAATAGTGTGATGTTCTGTATGGATTGTATGGAATATATACAGTAACTGGTCAGAGCAACTCTTTGGATACAACAAGAGGCCTATGTTTTAATGCACAGAACAAATAGAGTAGGGGCAGACTGTTGAAATGTATTAGTGACATTAAAGATCTAAGTCTAGAGCAGCATGGACTCTAAAGGCAGTGGTTCAGCCAGCAGGAAAACAAATGCAGCATATTTGTATAGTTCAATTCCAGCCTACAATTGTCTGGATCAAATTAAAAGTTCATAGAAATAATGCTTTGCAACACGGGGACCAGCTTCACAGATGTTCTTGCATATGTCAGCCGCTCTAGCATCATCTCACTAATCCCTTTCTCACATTAACCAAGATTTCACAAAACTGTGGTTTGCAAAATTACTTCAAGCCATGGTTTTAATTCCCACCTTGAGAGGATTATAGTATGCACTGGTGTTCAAGCAATGTAAAGCCTCAGTTAACATAAGAACAGGAGGGGGGATAATTTTGGAGAGAGCAGAAGGGAGTGACTTAACAAGTACCGACCTCAGTTCCTAAACCACGTATCCCAACCAGTGGACTAGGACTAAGCTCAGTGTATCTGTTTTCTCATCCCGGAAAATGGGTGGAAGGGGAGACAAAAGAGAGAAATTTCCCAAACTCCCTCACATATGTTCCACTCACTCTTATTTTCTTTCATGAAGGTCCACATCTCTCTCTCTTCAGGGCTGTGGGCAAAGGAGCAGTTTCCAACATACTGGCACTTCCTGCCATTTTGGACATGGATACATAACTGCGAGGAGAGAAATAGAACACAGCACCCTAAAAAATGTCTCCTTTCTCATGAAGAACCAGACGATGACAACAACAAAATAAAGCTACCAACAAAACTGCAATATCAGACACAGATTCGTAATACATTATGTTTCTAATTGGACTCCCACAAGGCTCTGGTAGGCAAGCCTTTGGTGCAGCCTGCAACTGAAGCCCAAACTGCCGCTGTACTGTAACCCTGAAGCACTAAAAAAGGACTTTGTGTGAGTGGGGATCAGGGGAAGGGGAGGCTGTGAGTTGTGTGTGAGGGGAGAAAAGGGCCAGACCCACCGCCAGCCATCAGAGTTCTTCAAGGAAGCCTTCCAAAAAGACTGATCTGACATTAATCCTGGGCCTGCTACTAAAATTCAGGATCCTCTCCAATCTGTAAGCATGCAGGGACAATGCCTGAAGATCTGCTCAGGCTCATCACCACTAGTGGAAAAGGTCACATAAGGATTACCAGTTTCCATGAGGATGACACTGTCAAAAAGAGAAAAACCCACTATACAGCATACCGTATCATCTCCGTCTCTGCATCACAGGGCCTGGAGCTCTGGGCTCCTCTACAGGTGCTCCCCCCACCCCCGGATTGATTGAGTAACAGCACCAACACGCCTGCTTCTCAATTGAGACAGGAAAATTTGATTTTCTTTACATGCAGCTACAGGTAAGCTGAATGCTTTCCTAGGTTATCCTTCCTCTTTTCAACCTCTAAGATTTGCTTTTCTTTATCCTCTAATTCTTGATTCTTCACCCACTTCCTTTTTGCTTTTCCCTCTCAGTTTTCTGAAGCTGCTTACAGAGAGGTGAGGAATTTGTGTTCCTCCAGATGTTGCACTCCCAAGAGCCCCTGCTGGGACCATTAGTTTTCAGAGATGATATAACTAGGCATGGGACTTTTGGATTTTTTTCACTACAAGAATTCACCAGGATTTCCCTGCACTAATTCTCCATACAGGAGATCCTTTGGAATCCGACCATCAGTATTCTCACAACATGCCCAAGCCATCGTAGACACTGTTTCAGTAATGTATACATGCTAAAAATTCCAGCTCGATCTAGGACTACTCTATTGTCATTATAAAGCTCAGATATATGTTTCAGAGACTAACCAGGCAACTCTCCTCCCTTCACTTACATCAAAAGTTATTTTGGGTCAGATCTCTTCTCCCATTCCGGAAACAGAGCCAAATCAAGGTTAGATTCCTCCATTTCATAAGAAGCTTAGACTGCTAAAAGCAGGCTTTGACTAAGCCAAGGGCATGAATCCAGGCAATAGTGACCCCTGACTCTACCACATGAAAGTTTCATCAGTTATGAGAAAACCACATCCAGAGCCACATCACAGCCAACTATTCCCCATTCATAGCCAACATTGTTCATCTGGAATAACAGAATGGTCTCCAAAACACTACTTGTAACTTCTCTTTCTCTCTTTCCTTAAGTCATTTGTTCTTAATCACCACTCACATATGCAAACAGAATATGTTGGGCCTGAAGGACAAATAAGGCTGACATTCAGATTAGAAACAGATTTAATCACTGCTCCCAAGAAAACAGAACAAACACAACCTCTTAGCAATCCAGAGAGAGATACAAGTGAAATTCTTCATGTCCTTGTACCTACTTGCCCTTTTGGCTGAGATTAAGAGTAGTCTGAAAAACAACAGTTTTCTTCATAGCAGAAACTCTATATTTTAAGAGCAAAGAGTTATGCTTGTAAAAGAATTTCCAAAAAGAGGGGATTTGGTCCAAAGGGGATGTGGGAAGTATGCAGTGAATGTTTCCTTGTTTGAATACATTCATATGTCTTTATTCTTGATCACTCTTTACCAAAGTTCAGTTATTTTCAGCTCTCCTGCCTCGTTAGAAAAGTTATATACAAAAAACTGCTGTTGTGTTCAGCTGTTGACAAGTTGATCCTTCTTCACAAGCTCTTTTGTAAAACACATACTTGAATCAACTTGAAGTCAGTTCTTCATATGCCAAAAAATGATGCTACACCTCTTCTGGTAATAAGCAAACTCAGGAATGTTGCAAACTTATTTTACACACACTGCACTTCCCAGTATGAGAGAAAGGCAATCTAAGGTGAAATATCACACTCAATTCCCACTTTCAGAGCTAACCAGTTCTTCATGAGACAAAGATTAATCAAGAACCAAATTTGATGGGTGATTCCAACAGGTATCCACTCTTGTCTCAGTACTGTACCACTGACCTGTCTTGGCCTTTGGCTAGCCCTTGTCTGTCATCATCCTATCTACAGAGTACTTCCTGCTCCAATATCTGAATTCTGAGTCTTTTCTCACTTCATACCCAAATCAAGCACGAACAAAAAGAAGTTGTCTGCTAAAGATGTATTACTTACATCATACTGCTGAGGGAAGTTGCGAATGGAAGGCAGTGGTCGGACAGATACCCACTTTCTTTTTGCTTTAGACATCACTAGAAGGACCCGGCGTTCCTTGGTCCAGCTGTGTTACAAGGTGGAAATGTGTTGAAGGATGAGCAAAACAAACTTGATACGAAAACATTACATCACTCCACAGAAACATTTAGAATTAATTCATTCTTATTACAGAGTTTAATATTTTGGGAAATCAGAGAATAATTCAAATCACCACACCCAAAATCACATGGAAAGAGACTTCTATGCCATAATCAGAGTTTGGAAAACTTAAAAAAATTGGACTACAGTTTCCAGAATCCCATAGGCAGCATGGCCAATGGTTTGGAATTCACATTTACTGGTGGATTCTGATGGTCTAAAAATACAGCAACTTTTCCAAGCTCAGCCATGAAAAGGGCAAAAACATTATTAATCAAAATAAATTAAAGCAATAATAGGAAAAGCCGTATTTAGATAGACTTTCTAGCCCTGTAATCTAAACCCTGTTCTATACATATTAAAAAGACAATTCCAAAACTTAATGACAAGGCCTAACTGTGTGCCGTGAAAAGGATGGCACTAGACCTTGAAAAAAGTAAACTAACATGTGCAGGTCTACTTTATTAGCCTGAAGACATACATGATTCAATAACTTTAAAACAACTTGTAAACTAACCACTGCCTGAACTGCAGGAAGCCTGTCTGAGAAGTCCTGAACTCTATAGGGAAAATGTGATACATGAATGGAATACATAGGTAAGTGTCACAGGTGTTTGCCTCTCTACAATATCCAGAGTGGGGTGCCCTGTGCAAGACAGTTTCCTCCTTCCCTTGCTGGAATAAGGTTCGCGAAACTCATCAGTTACCTTGAAAGAAAGGTGTTTCACTGAAAATACAGTCATGTCATCTTCTGGTTGCTGCACAATGATGTAGGGCGGGGTTCCATGTAACTAGGGCTTATTTTGGGGGTAGGGCTTATATTATGAGCATCCTGAAAAATCACACTAGGGCTTATTTTCAGGTTAGGGCTTATTTTGGGGGAAACAGCGTAGTATTTCCTAGACACCACCTGTACTGCAGTCAGAAAGGATCAGACTATCTCTTGATATATCACATAGAAAGCAAACTTTCTTTCCTGGGTCTGCAAAGGTAACAAGATGTAATATGAAAATGGACTGCCCTGCAATTGCCTGCCCATTTATCTGGGAGTTACTCAGGTGGGTGGTGTACCTTACAGTGCAACACTAATGACTGCCTCCAATTTTAATCAAGAAAATGCTACCTTTTTACTGAAAATTTTACTGAAAATACTGCATTAAAACAAGTGCTGAATGCCACAAAAGCAAAGTGATGGTCCAGATGCCATTTATCACTTCACTTCTAATTTCATAATCTCTTTATCGCAGGTTCCTCCAGAAAAGTAAGTAGGCTTGGCACCACCTCAGTTAAAAGCCAAAGACACTTCTACAGTCTACTGAAAAGGAAAGTTTTAACAAGAGGGGAATGTAACAAGGGACATTTGTGATAAGGGGAGATACAGTGGCACCTCATTTTACTAAAGCCTCGGTTTACGTAATTTTTGGTTCATGAACCGCAATCCATAGAAAATAATGCCCCAGGTTACGTTCTTTTTCTTTTTCCGCTATAAGAAAGGGTTTCCCCAGGATACATTGCGCCTAGAGGTTTCTAGCACCACCCCCATTCCTAATGCAACCTGCATATCGGTTTACAAAATTTTTGCATGACTTAACGTCCCGGAGGACACATTAATATAGTATACAGAGGTACACCTGTAGTAGAATAGGGAAGAACACCTACCAGTGGCGTGCTTTGGCACTACAGTATTTGAGGTCTTTGTCTGGTTCCACCACCTGCCCGTTTCTCCAACACTGGCCACATACAAACTTCATCTGAAGGTCAAAAGTGTTTGATGTGGAAGTCCTAGTGGAAGCCTAAAATCAGAAAAGAGGGGAAGGTAAGGTCATCTAGGGAGTGTCTGTTCCATAACTGAATAATCTAGATGTATTAAGATGACATGTGTTTTGCCATGTCCATGTTCTTTTATGAGAATAGTCAAGTAGAAATAAATACCAAAACAAGGTTGGAAAAATCAAGACTCTGAGATACAATCAGGCTAGAATGGCTGGTACTATACAAATACTGTATATTATTTTTGCTGCTTATTTCCAGAAAGTCATTCTCTAGCCACCCACCACCACATGAATGGTGATTGAGTGACACACACGGAGGCATACAACACAGATTCTGGAGAGAATACGAAGTAGAAATGGTTCCTGCCTCCAGCAGGCTGTCCTTATTGCAAGCACATGACCAATGGTGCTAAGGACAGACAGCTGGAAGTGAAAATCATCTGCACAATGGCCTTTCAATGTGGTTAACTTCAATAAAATTTGGTCTCTACTACAGTATATTTCTTCCAAAAACTGACAAGCCATCTGCTTCCGTTTTCCAGTAATATGGGATATAGACAAAGAAAAAGATTGAACAACACAGTACAAAACTCACAGTATAAACCATCTTTATGATCCCGCTGCTGAGTTTCCATCACTAAAGATTTCCCACTATTAGCTACTGCTCCATCTACTGTAATTGGTAGTATAGGCTATCTAAACCCTGTAACAGCATAGATTTGACGTATTTAGGTTGGAATACCCTCATCATTCTGATAATCATCATCATCTAATGAAGAAGACTGCATGCACCAAAGATTATGTCAAATAATACTTGTCAATATTTAAAGTGTCCTTGCAAGGCTGTTGTATTATTATTATTCCCTGAGTCTTCAAGAACCTTCTCCTTGGAATAGACAGTTTTATGTCTCTGTCAATCTTTCGCCCAAAGACTGCTGAATACAGTGAGCTTCAACTAGAGGGCTGGTAGAAGGTTAGGGGCAAATACAGTGTTTTATAAAGGGCTAACTGTGGCTAATTTTGCACAATTGTAATTTCATCTGATGCCTTTAACTAGATTGTTCTGCTTTACAATTTTTATTTTATCACTGCATTGTATTGTGTTAGGAATTCACTGATTTTCCTCTGACCTGAAAACTTCAACACGTGTCAAGTATGAAGAAGTCCAATTACATTTCCCTGGTCCTAGCCTGCCTGCACTGGTTATTCACGTTGTGCTGGGCCAGATTTAAGGTGTTGGTACTTACCTATAAAGCCCTCCACAGTTTGGGACCTTGCTAGTTATTAGAGTGTCTTTCCCTAAAAGCATCCCTGACAGCCAATCCTTTCAGGCCATGCTCCTCTAGGCTGCCACACCAAGGGAGGCCTGGACATAATCTACTAGAAACATGGCCTTCTCACTAGTGGCCCCATCCCTTTGGAATACTCTTCTGGTGGAGATGAACCTGGCCCCCTCCATCATAGCTTTTAAGAAGATGCAGAAAACTAGACTGTGTATCAAAGCCTTTGAGAGCATCCTCCCTTAATGTTTTATAAACCGAAAAATCTTTCATTCCCACTTGCTACTGCTTCGGTTCTTGGTTATTAGACAACTGCTGTTGTATTATGTATAAAGGTATATGCGGTTTAATTTTTTCAATATATAATTTATGAATCATTTTATGTTTGCTTTACTTTGGATGTAAACTGCCCAACATAGTGTTGGGCAGTTTATGTGTGGCACACAAGTGTAACAAATAAATGAACAAATTCTTTTACATTGTGCCTTCATTTCACATATCTTATTCCTTGTTTATCTGCTGTGATTTAAATAAACCTTCACATTAATTGCACCTCCAAATAACCTCAGATAATCTCTGGTTACACCTTTTGCCCACTGGGGTAAATAAAGAACCGAATTTTTGGCACATAGTCAAAAGCTTTCCCAAAAAGGCAAGGTAGAAACTGAATAAACAAATAAACTCTTTTACATTCCTAGGCTTAAGTTCATTCACATGATTACCAAAGACAAATATGACTGAAGAACGTAAACACATACAGAGAGCAATCCACACACACAGCAATCTAGGCAGTTTATAAATGACCACCACAAGTGGACCCTAGGAAACATAAGACAATTAATGTGAAGGTGCTTTCTTCCAACCGTTACACTCTCAAGTGGGTTTTACATTTCAAAAGGTATTTTCACTATATCACCATGCTCATCCTTTTGAGGTGAAATGTACAGTTTGATGTATTGTAGATATCAACTCTCTATCTCAGCAAGACACTGGCCACTGCTTTCTATTCTGAATGTCTGCTTTCAACTTTCAAGGCATTCAGCTTTGAATGAACATCAATATGAATAGAGGAGGAAACCCCTACTAATTTGTGAAGAATAATTTGTGTCTGCTTTGAATTTATGAAAGGGAGGGGGGAAAGGACAAAAAAAGAGGGAAGGAGAATCAGAGGCTGAAACACACTGCAGGATTATTGTCTCAAGGCTGTACATCATGTACTTAAGAGGAAGAAATTACATGCAGGAAAAATAGGAACACAGAGGAGGAAGAAGAAAAGAGCGCCTGCATTTGCTTTAATATTTAATATAAATGTGTTATTTTGGAGCTATCCTTGATAACCTGGTGCAGAGCCTGAGGAAAACAAATCATCATCAAAAGCTTGCTCTATTTTTTGTCTTATTTTCTTAATGGTCCAATAAAGGCATCACCCATTCCTGCATTCATTTGCCATGGTGCACATCTAGTACCTCTACAGGAAGGTGAATACACAGTAGAAGGTTGTAAACATCAGTAGTTTTGACAGTACTATTGAAAGTGCCATGCCATTCTTTATAAAGAAATCAACATCATTAAAATGAAACTCAAATGCCAGGGATCTTGGATGTATGAAGTTACTGTGGATATCACTGCTTCTGGAGTGCCAATTATGCAAACTATGGCTCTCACATAATCTGTTGCACAATACTTTCTACAGATTTTTTAAAAAAAAACATGTTGCAGCACAATCCTATGTATCAACTCAAAAGTAAGTCCTGCTGAGTACAGTAAGGTCTCTATGTATTCAAGTTAGATCTAAACATCATGCCTTTTCAGAAGGCTGCTTATATAAAGGAGCATTTAACTAGTGTGGTATAATTGTCAGTATTCATCTAGGACTCTCAAGACATAGATTCAAATTCCTATTGGTTATGAACTTACTGCATGACTTTGGGCCAGTCCCACTGCCTCAGCCTGACCTTTTTCAGAGGATTATAAAATGAGGAGGAGGATAGCTGTGTGTGCTACCTTGAGTTTATTGGGAGAAAGGAAAGATATACTGTAAATGAAACAAATAGCAGCTGCAGCTTGTTACTGCTGCATGCAATAGATATTGTGCAAAAGACGAAATCGGGACTCCATAATGCAATACTAAAAAATGGGGCCATCCATAAACAAAATTTGAATCTGGCCCTTGGTTCAGCACCAGATTTGGCACAAATATAGCAAACAGTCTGTTCTTGTTCTGTACTAAATTAGGGAATATTTGCACAAACAATTTTTTAATTATGATTTTTTTTAAAAAGCTGCTTTACACCCTCCCCCATGCAGACAAAGGTGCCTTTTCGGTCTGTAAAACAGATCAAATACATTTAAAATATCAAATTTGCTTATCTTGTAAGGGAACAGACATTTCCAGGCTCAGGTGCAATAATACTGACTGACAAAAGCCCTTTGATGGAGGAAAAACCTCTGTGTTTCTAGCTTTCTTATAAATTGGTTATCAGCTTGAACATTCTAAGCATAAACACTGCTGAAAGATTGACATTATAGAAGGAAAATCTGAACTTCACCTTGCCAATCAGGAACAAACTAAATGACTTGGTGGGGGACGTATTAACTTCTCCCTGGTTAAACAAACATTAAAAGGAGTATTTCTGATGTTAAAATGTTTTTTAAAGATTATTATTTTTTTAAATAGAGAATAAATATTCAGAAGTTCATTCATTTAAGTTTAAGCTGTGAAATTACTGTTTTTTGCTTTGTGGCTGGGAATAGTCCTATAGAGCTTTGGTACCTATTTCACTCATCTTGTCACTACTGTATATCATTGTTTGGTAATTAAGAAAAAAACATCCAATGATGCTATGTGCTACCAAGTCACTTCTGATGTTATGTAATGTTTCAATGTATTCACTTCTGACATTTATCTAGTTGCAACTTATTAAAGCAAAATTAGAAGAATGTTACAAGAGAACAGAGAGACTCCCTTCTACAAAACGATCTGCTAATAACACTGGAATAGATGACACTGATTCCTGTCTAGTCTTTGCACACCCTAAGAAAAGACACAAAGCTATCTAAGAATCCAATACATATTGTAATTTTAACTACTAGCCCATGACACAATTTGAGTAGGGTATCTTCTCCAAAGTATGACAAAAGTTGGATTTGTTCAAAGCCTGGGTCACTGTGTAAAAAGATAGCACTAATTAAGCCATATACAGCTCCTTCTAATGAGCACTGGCAATTCAAAGTGCCTCTTCAGAGAACACAGAGAAACCATAAACTGAAGTCTTCAGAGGTAAGGAGCCCAAAGGCCTTGAATATGCTTCCTTGCCAGGTAAACCTATGTTCACTTGGCAAAAGATGGGGAAAGAAATTAAGTAAGCATATGTTCATTATACATGACTGTATTTGTAAAGACAAGACACATACCATTTATATGTGGAAACAAGAGGCTTCTATGAATCCAGCTGATTAACTAAATCCAACAGGCTCCAAAGAATAGGAGCAGCTATTGTCATGGAGCCAAAATTACAATATAAAGTTTGCAATCAAACCATTCCAATTATGTGGTTTACAATTTTGGCACAACCATGCTTAGGTCTATTATTCCAAAAAAGGCAACTGGCATACTTCAAGGGGGAAAGGGAAGAGCTTTAACTCAGTAACAGAGCACAGAAGACCTGTAACAAAAGTTTCAATGTGAATTGTTCTTGTTCCTTGCTTCTTCTAGCCATGTCCTCTTTCAGGATACCTGTT